TCTGGGATTCTAAGAACAACAAAGTTTTAAAAATCTATTCCAGTTTCTCTTCAGTGTGAGTGTGCTTCTGTCAAACGGCAAATATAGTTGGTGGAACTATCTTGAAGTAACGCTTTTGTGACCAATACTTTCTTATTTGTGCGCCACAACATAGGGAGGTTATTTTTTATGTAATTTTTAACTTGAATAATCAGTTCTTTTACGATTTGAATCTGTACTGTTACTTCTCTCTTTCCGTTTTCCCCCAGAATGCAGGCCAAACAGCGGCCGAGCGGTAAAGTCGCTGAACACTGGTAGTTCGGTCCGAGGTTCGAATCCCGCGAACGGGCTGGCTGCATGGGCGTTTTTGTGGTTTTCCCCATGTGTAACGCGTATACGAGCCAGTTTCCGTTAGAAAGTTCTCCACGAAGGCATCCATCCCCTTAGGCAGGTAGCTCTAGTGTGCTTTGTCATAATTAAATAAACCAAAACCAAACCCCCCAGAATGCAAATTATTTCCCGAGTACTTAAATTAGGTTTTGAGACTGTTAAGACAGAGCGTGTACTGCCACTCGTCGCCACGTTACTAGGTTCGCTGCTTTAGGTAAATGTTTTGTGCCTTGCATTATAATCGTCCATAGTTAAAATTCACGCCGGGGAAGTTAGGAGCCAACTTCGAGGTAAATTGTTCTGCGTAGCCTTTTGCTGTTATTCTGTTTAAATTTAAGCTTTACATCTGACTTACCAAATTTTAGTTTCCAGATATAAATGCTGGCGGAATTGTAAGCACCAGGAATGCCTTCTGTTCATCTATTTTAGTTTTAAATAAAGATTCTTTTACACCCTTCTGATGTCTCTGTGGTACTTTTAGACTTAGCAATAAGTCGCTTAATGTCTACATAGAATTTAACAGGGGATGAAAGCCAAGAGAATGAAACTTAGCAAAAACTGTACTATATTCTCCATTGTATACAAGCTTTAGCTTTATTTTTAAATCTCCTGCTACATTCTCACCTAATAACAGCGTAATATAGTATTTTGAACTTTTATGTTCAGGGCACGCATATTCATCAGCTGCTCCGAAAGCTCGTAAGAGCAATTTTTTCCATAATAAACAAATTTCATCAATGTTGAATATTTGTTCCTCTTTGTACACTCATTTGTTTTTTGACCTCAATTAATTCCCTCGAATGTCTTGAAGCAAACTGTTTAACTGGACCAGCAGATTCACCAACAATACACTCACTGAGAACACCAGTTAATTGTTTTGGAGGAAAAAATATCTACGTATTCCTATAAAAATTATCTCTACGTCCCCCACCGACGTTTTCTGTGTCATTAGTCGTATTCAAATAATGGTAAAAATCTAATTCTATGATTTTTCATTTACTCGGTGAAAATCCTTTTTGATTCCAGATTTATCTATTTTATTATTCCGTATGGTTAATAGCCTATTTATGTTTTCTATACGAGCACTTCGTTTCTATACATTCTGTTTGATAAATAAGAATTCTTAAACATGCTTTGCAATTTTTATTAATCTTTTTTTTTTTTTTTTTTTTTTTTTTTGTTTGTTTGTTTGTTTGTTTCTTGGATAAGTTTTCGAACTGATGTGCGTCCATTCCTTTCCCACAAAATTAATTTCGCTTCTTGAAGTCGCATCTCGTTCGCAAAGCATTCAAACAAATAATTCAAACAAATAAATTAAATCACATTACTGCGTGTGTGAACGTTAGAATATGTGCAACAAAGCTTCCGTATAAATTGGGACAAATGCATAAACGAGTTAGCGGGTAATCTATGCATAAATCTAATAAACACATATGCATCTGGAAAACATCGCGAATACTAACAAGAAGGGTAATGCAGTTCTTGGAGGATGCAAATTTATAATGTCTTTATATAAACCTTTCTTCTTAACTAAACCATGGAGCAAGAGTTAAATTCGAATGATTATGTTAGGTTATTCGAATATGGCAAAAATATTAGGGCTATCTGCCTAAAAGAATGAGTGCCTTCTTGGAGGACTTTCTAAGGGAAACTGACTTGCATTCGTGTTACACAAGATGAAAACCTCGAAAACAAATCGTACAATCCGACCATTCGACTGGTATGGATTCGGAATCGTACTTAAGGAACCACTCGGCCACTGGTGGGTCTCAAACTGAATGACACAGAGGAAACATAGGTTGTTATTATATGGCAAAGCATATGTGGGCTGTCATAATAAGGGGAGGAAAGCCTTTGTGTAGGATTTTTATATGGGAAACTGGCCACGGAAAGTTACCAAACTTACCACTACTTAAACCACAGAAAACACCCCTACATCCAGGGCATTCGTCTGGGTTCGAGTCAGGGTCAGTCTCCCAGCAGGTCTTAACCGCTCGAACGCTGAAAGGAAGGATTGTAAATGAAAGCGGTCTGCTTATGGAGGTAGTCATCATGAGATGGTTACGTATAGAATACAGAGAGAGAGCTATAGAAACAGATCTAGAAATGTTCAACAATATTTAAAGAAGTTACCCCGTAAGAGATGATGTAGGTCAGAATTGAAGAGATTTCCTTCCAACAAAACTCAGTCGTGGTACGTTTACCATTTTTATATAATCATAATTTGTAGAATAAATATAATGACACTGTCTGAACACTGTTATGACGCAGTCTAAACGTTATTGTGCAATTGCGAGTCTGCATTTACATACTGACTTCATTATAGTTAGTGCTAGAACAAAGGTGATACTGTAGACGGCATTACAGAAGCATCATGTGACAGATATTAGTTTTGAAATAACTCACTTCAGAAATATTTATTATAAGTATTTTACAATTTCAAAAGCATTTGGGGGATATCTTAAGCTGTTGAAAGATATCCCGGCAAATATTTTTGCAGACCGTTCAGGATCTGAAAAGTGCACTTTCAGAAGAATGATGTCCATTTCCATAAGATTCGATCAACAGTTTGGTAAATTCTATGAAATCAAGATATGAGCTTTGCATTTCTATCACAAATGACCATATACCATACAAAAAGGAAGGTGTTTTTTGCAGAAAAGTAGGAGATTGTTTTTTCTATCATTTTTAAAACTTCCACAAATTTAACTTCAAATTCAGTACTTTTAAATTAATTAATTGGCAGGCATGATAATTTATGTTAAATAATGCTTTTGTATAAATTGGCTTCTATCATTTTTCAATAAGTAATAGTTAAGATTTGTTTCTGTAAGTATCCTTTAATTTTGACCACAAGTGTCATAAAATGTGTACTTACAAAAGGATATTGCTGTCATTTAAACATCGATTTCTAAATACTATATACTTACGAGTGTTTTAATGGTGTTTACTTCAAGGCACAAAAGTCCAAATATATATTTTTGCCTCCTCATTTCTTTTAAAGTCATTGCCTTAACAATAATCTCACATCCAAAATATTCAAACAGAATACATAAGGCCACAAAATACATAAAGTACAAAACATTTAGTTATAAGAAAGTTAAAATTTTTCTGGTGTTTATTGGTAAACTCGCTTTCTAATGACGCTCCCTGAACAATGAACTGTGGCAAAGTTGTCTCAGGAACAGCAACTACTTCAGGTAATTGGACATTTGGTCTTCCATCTGTTTGATTTGTTTACCTGTTTAATTGTTAATAATTCACTTCATTTTTATGTTACTGCAGTAGATTATTGATAAATTAAATGTGTTGACATCTTTCATTTCATCTAAGTTTCAAAGTAAGTATTTTGCTTAATAACTTCTGTTACGCATAGGAATCTTTGGAGTCCTTGTGTGGGTTTAATATGCACCCTTGAAAATAATAACTTGTAAATGTCTATAATTATAGGTTTTAATAACAATTTCAGCTACTTTCAAAATAGATAAAAATAGATCATGTAAATCGATATGCAACCAAAATTGAAAATGGAGATATGAAGAAAGAGATTCTTCGTACATGAAACCGTACGCCTAGAACGAAATAAAATATTTATAGTAGCTTTGTACGCTTACTATTATTTTTAATTAAACAGTTATTTATAATTTAAGCCTTTAATTTCTTTTTCTCTTTCCGTTTCCGTTTTGCATTAACCAGTATAATTTCAGCCTTTACTATTACTTTTTTCCGTTTCCTCACCAGAATGCAAATCGCTTAGAGAGTATTTAAATCGAGTATTTGGGATTGTAAAACAGAGCGTGTTTCTGCCTCTGAAGGCTACATTTCTAGGTTTCGCCAGCTATGATAAGATTGAGATTTTCGGTTTTGAGTTATAGGGGCCATCATTTAAATTTTCACGTTTACGTGAACTTTTGAACCAACTTAGTTTTAAATTAAATTGTGTGGTCTTCCACTACTAGGCTTAGATTTTATTCTAAAATTTATTGTTCTTTACGCTGCCTCGCCACAGGTCGTGGCTGATCTTTTAAAGTAAGAGACGTGCATTTACTGTTCAAGTTCTGATTTAATAAAACAAAAACGTTATTTTAACCTTCTAAAGTCGTTGAAGTTAACTTCAAACCAAACGCTGATTCGCTCTAAGTATGTTAGGGTTTTATACTAGTTTATGCTACCAAAGAAAGTCGAACTCTGTAGCCTTTTGGATAAATTGAAAAGAAGGGTTATTTATTTTGCGACATTAATTTTTCCGATCTTTTATTATTTTACCCTCAATAAACTTTAGTCACTGTTTGGTTTCCACTTTCTTCTTAAGAGAATGCAACAACTTTCTGTTCTTCGTAAAGATCTCCGCATCCTGCCGCATTTAGACCGAGACTGTTTTAAAAACGCCCTTCACTAGCATACAAGTTTCAGATGTCAAATCCTAAATGAAGAATTCTTCATATCGTGCGGTAGGCCAAGCGAAAATTAGCCTTCTTTTTTGGCAATGAAGTTGAACCACTCAACTCAACTGTGCACTTTCTATCAAATAAAAAGTACAGTTGATGTAGCATTTAGGACGCTTACTATTCCCACCCGATGAAAATATGTTTGACGTAACTACTAGTAGCTGAACAATACAATATCCTTTGCCGGTTTCGAGGTATAAAAGTTTTGAAATGAAGCTATCTCATCACTAGTAAGAACATTATTGTGAGAAAATCACATCTTAGGATTTACTGGATTACTCTTATAAGGTATGTAAATAAACTTTCTTCTTTCGCATCCCAGAATCTTAATAATCGTCAGATACAGCACTAGCTAAAATCGGAACTGTAATTTCTTAGCTATCAAAAGGCTGATAATAGTGTTTTGATTAAACAATTAGCATCTTTCAAAAGTCATTCGATTCGATTAACTTTGGTCATAGATATCAGATAAGATTATAATGTTTTACGTAAGTGCAAAAATAAAGCTGTGAAAAAATAGAAATTACTTGGAAAAATGAAATGTGACGTACATAAATATACAAGCAACAAATATCGTGATGAAGCAGCTTATGTTATGAAGAATTATTTCTTAAAATATAGACAAGAGGCAGATAGGCTTTGGAGGCCAACGTTATATTTGCTCTAATATTAATGCCAAAAATACCACACGCGTTTCTACTGAACACTGACACCTTTCATCAGTATAAAAGCATTTTTGCAAGAGCACACTCCACCGGATACCGTAAGATAATGCAAGCAGTATTAAATATAAGATAATGCAAGCAGTATTTAATATAAGATAATGCAAGCAGTATTAAATATAAGATATTGCAAGCAGTATTAAATATAAGATAACACAAGCAGTATTAAATATAAGATAATGCAAGCAGTATTAAATACTGTCTGCTGATTTGGAATTAAAGAGTAAACCTTTCATAATAAAGTGAAAATAAATAAAAAAGTAACGGAATGTCTCAATACATTATAGGAAACAGTTTTAGACTTTTGTTTAGTGCTGTGGTTTAAAAGAAATCTAATTCCTCAGTTAAAGGAAAACTTGGAATATTTAAGAAATCAGAATTAGTAGTATTTTACAGGGATATGAAATACCATCTATTGGTCAAGCGACTAGCAATTTGAGTAGTAGAACTTCAGAGAGAAATCAAGTGTAACTATGATAGTTAATATAATGTCAATTTGATAAAACCAAGTCCCATGATCTCTGAAGATACCACACCAAACGAACCAAAATTTGTTATAAACAATTTATTCTCCCAATATTCCTTTTCCCTTTATGTAGTTGATTTGTTTCCGATAATCGTAGTTTTATGTCACTCCGCCATCATTATTCGACATGATTTATAACATCAGCAGGTTGCTACAATTCACATTTAATTCGTTACTTATTCAGATTAAATTTATTGCCTAGTTTATTTTATATTCTTAACCTTCATTATTCCATATAAAATATCACCATAAAAGATTTTATAAAAGTATTCCTCATTTTTGACAGTATGTTAGTATGTTTTTAAGCTTCAGATTCATTTAATGTCATTTCAAATTGCAAAAACGTTTGTAATTAATTATTTTTTTTGACATCAAAAATTTCTTATAGCTTTATCTTTAGCAATAGGAATAACGACTATAAATAAATTTCGTTTCTATATTATCCTGTAGTATTAAAAGAATTTCAGAGCAAAACTTTCTGAAAAGAAAGTATTTCAGAGAAAGATTTAACAAGTGAACAGAGTTGAGGAAGTGAATATCCTGTTCACTCTAACATTGAGAAATAAAATTGTAAAGTTAATTGAGTTGGAATACGTATTTGATTACTACTAGTGCCAGAAATCGTAATGGATATTTATGATTGAAAAAGAATATAATTAAAATTAGATTCTGTTTTAAAAATTCAAGCTTTTGAATTACATTTATGTACTCCCTGGTTACAAGCACATATTCTTTCAATGTAAAGGCAAGAGATAATTTCAGACTGCCATACTTCAACCCAGTTTCAGAAAATTCCGTTAATAATGAGTTATATTTTTAACTTTCGTAATCTAGTTCAAAGTCTAGATTCAGTTTAGTTTATCGAATTTTTTTCATTTGTTGACGATATTATTAAATGTGTTTTTCACTTTTTTAATTTGATTTTGGGAATAAACTAACTCATATTGAAAGATTTTCGATTCCTCTATCATTAGTAATAGGTAGCTTATAATATAAAGTGCTAAGAAATATTTGATTTAAGCCAGTTCGGAAACATTACGTCTAAAACATAAAATACGTCTTTCATTTTGTAGGGTTTATATTTATTTTAACTAACATTTATTTTAAGTTTAAACTATCTTTCCTGTCAATCCTTACTTTCCCCTGGAACTGCCAATGCCAGAATATGTAAATTTGAGTAGAACGCGCAAGCATTCAAATTATCAGCGGAAGTAGTATGATTTAAATAGAAGGAAACGAGTTCGGTGAGAGAGTTATTCTTACTTAGCGAGCGCGGAGGTAGTTATCGAGAATTGAAGAACCCCGCGTTGCGGCCTATGTGCTTGGCGGGAAGTACGTGAGCTTCAAGTCTGCTGAATTAGCTGCGGTATTTGTAAAACACGGTGAGTTAGTTATTTTAGAGAGCCTCGTAGTTAGAATATTGTCTTTACTTTCTTTTCAGGTTCTTATTTTTATTTGACTGCCTAGTGGGCACAGTCTGTAAGCGTCAAGAGGACGCCATTGTAATTTATTACGTTGAATAAAAAGGGACTTAAACCCTTTATAAGTCTCTGTGGTTTATACAAGCTTTCACAGTCACCTCTTGGTTGCGTGCTAGTTAGAGGCGCGCAACGTTATAATTTCTTAAAAACCTAACTATTTTTAATAAGACAAAAGCAATAGTCTTCCTGATATGAAATTATAACAAAGTTATTCATCTATCATCAAAACTCATACTGTTAGTGAAATTAATATTTTTATGCTTGACAGTGACAGATTGGAAAGTAGTTTAATTGAGGACAGAAAAGCGCTATCTGCCAAGCATTTAAAGTAAAAGACAGCTAGATTTATCTAGTAGCCACACTATGAGAAAAATTAGAGCTATTAATCTGTTTTACATGAGCTCAATGGAAGTGTTTAAGTCCCTTTTGTAATCGTATACTGAAACAGAAATGATCAAAATAAATCGGTCCATGGTTGAAAAAGTAGTCATAAAATATTTTCTTGAACATTGCCTCAACATTTCCTTAAATGACTTCTTTCTTTTAAACTGCACTTGAGAAACAAAATAATAAGTACGTTTTCCAAGAAATTCTTGTTATCTTCGTTATCGTTTTGATTTTCTACGGCGAAATATTTAAATAACATTTTTTAATAATAAAATAAAAGCTTCATGTTTTACTACTTTCTTGTTAAAAGTAAAGTAGTTTTATAACCATATATCGGATTAACATCTAATTAAGCTCTTATGTAGGTAAAGGCTGATTATTTATGATTTGTTTGCATGCGTTATCATAAAACTTCCCTGATGTAAGCATAACAGTAGTCATTGAGGAGCATGGAATATTAGATGAACCTATAGAATTATAATAGCTCTTTCCTGGTATTTTATTAAAATTTTAATTCTGTCAATTTTAAATACAATCATATTCGATGAAAAACGAGATTTAAACCAGATACATTTCCACCTTTTAGTCACAGAACAAGGGGGAAAAGTGTGTGATATTATAGGATCTTATTCTCTTTGGCCATATAATCTCTACTAGATCCTACTAAGGAACCGTGAAATAATACAGCACAGAAGAAGGGTGAAAGTAGTTATTTATTATTTTTAAGTATGAGCAGAAAGACGTGTACTTCGTGCTTTACAATAACACCGACAACTTGCGGTGGAACTTAAAGAGTTGTTACACAAATCATTTCAAGTCTAAAGAGTAGTGCTGGACTAACATTTTAAGTTAAGGCTAACTACGTTGACTCGACAACCTACCCGACGTGATAATTATTTAAATGGTCAAAAAGCGTATCAGCAGCTCGGCGTAACAGCAAGGTCAGAATCCTAACGTGCGCTGGATAGCGAAAACACGCCCTGAATAAACTCCAGAATTCACTCGTTTAAATACTCCCTTCACTCAACTTTAAATTCGCAACCTGGCGAGGAAATGCAAGATGAAGTTGAGAAGTTCAGAAAAGATAACAAAAATTTGAAAAATTGGGTATATTGAACTAAGGGAAACCCTACAATACAATGAACTTAACTTTTGAAGGCGAAAGTCTTTACTTACGAGACTGGATACGGCAGCAAGAAATGATTTTATAATCTTAACTGTGTACATTGTTCTGTTTAATCTAATTATAGTTTCAAAGTTACATTAAAATAATGTAAATTTTTAGATTAAAAATTATAAATTTTATTATCTACTAATTGCATCTTATCTTACCTCGCATTTATTCTACCTAAAACTCACTTTTAAAGCAGACTTAGGTCTTTTCTGAGTTTGTGTTTATATGTTTAAATTTGATAAAATACGCCAGGAAAGAAGGAAAAAAATTTGGTATCATTGGTAATAACTTTATAAGCAGTAAAAATGACATGTTTGGAGTTTCCGCTGATGATACACAGAATAACATTTTAGTTGAGTAAAATTTTTTAAGAGTATTGGTGATGACATATGATAACTGTTAAATAACTCATCATAATCAATATAAGAATAGGCGAATACTCCTTTTTGGATCTATTAGGTTTTTCAGCTAGAAAAAATGACACTTCAACTGCCTATTCATCCAGATCTGAATGACAGTTTTTCCAATGCTAGCTGGAAGTGCTACCACTGACATCATGCACGGAGGAATGTGATTATTTCTTATACATTTGTCCCAATTGTAGGGAGATTAATATTAAATCAATGCAGTGAATGGAAATGGAGGGTAAGATGATGCAATAGAAACCTAGAAAATTTCACAAGCTACACAATTTTTCAAGTGGCAAATTCTATAATTGTACAAAAAAAAAGGTACAACTTTTCAAGCTGTTCTTTGAAAATGAACTTATAGATAGCATAATGAAAGAAACCAAAGACTGCGCTAAAAGTTAAGTTAAAAAAAATATATATATCTATTAGATCAACAAGGTATGCACTAAAAATTCTGGGAAGGAAGAATTTTCCTTTAAAATCAAAATGTAAGTCTCTGTAACCGATCTTATTTAATATATCCTAAACTTGAAGATCTTATTTAAGAACTATTAAACTACAAGTTGTTCTTATTTATTTAAAAATGTAATTTCTACTTCGTAGCATTTGATCTTAGAATTTACAGTAATTTTTAAAAATAATCAATTTAGGCATCTTTCTGATAAAAAATAACTTAGTTATCCAAGCAAGTAGGTTTGTCCTTTTCCTCGCGATTATTTGTGTAAGCTTAAAATTCTTATCTCAAAATACGTTCTTTGGCTCCTAAATTAACTTCTGTAAGAGTATCTAACGTCCCTGATATCAATGAAATATTTCCTTATCTTTGAAATATGAACGCGTTACTATTTTTAGTGAATGCCCACAAAACCATTCTTAGAACTCAAGCAATGGCATATGCCTTTTTAATTCAAATTTTGCGCTGGATTTAAAATATCAATTCCTAATTTAGAGTGCGAATTTTTATCTGAAAACTGCTGGAACATTTTGTTAATTACGATGTTGTATTTGTTAATTAGGACTTCATTCATCATTCGCTATTAAAAAAGTATTGCACCAAGAAAGAAAGCGTTTAGCCAGAATCATATTTATTATATTATATTAGATATATATATGTATATATATTGTATTTTATTATATACAAGATATATATACATATATATTTATGTTATTATTCATTTTTATTATGTCCATTATAATGTAAGGATGAATTGATTAGAACACGCATAAATCAGTCTCTGGCGACAATAGTATCTGTTGGGCATGGAGTCAAACAGACTTAAAATGATAATTGCTAATATTATAGTCGATGCGGCTCCTTTTCTGTTCCATACTAGCTGACACGTATCATACAAGCTGTATTGTATTATTCTGCACCATACCAGCATACAGTGTCATACGCTGACATACCGTTTGGCAGGTCTTGTCGTAATCTCTTAGCAAACATTGACCCAACGTTTTCTGTTGTTGAGAGATTTGGAAAACACATCAGGCGGATAGTAACCCTGCATATTGTGTAAATATAGGACAGCTTGGATAAGTTGAATTTTTGCATTGTTCTGTTTAAAAATGTGCTACCTAGACTCCTTAGGTTATAACACAGCCACTGGCATTAAAACCTGAGTAATGTAATCGTACCTAGTCAAAGTAAGGCCACAGATTGAGTACGTGAACCACATGTATACGCAATGGCACCCCATACCATCAATTCAGGTACTTTTTCGAAAAATAAAAGCTTCCAACGTTTGTTTCTCTCGGTTCTACCATGCTGGATAAGTTCATTAAAATGTTATCAGAAGCAACTGGATTGGTCAGAAAAAATGAAGTCACGCCATTGGTGCGTCCTATGTGCTGTGGAATACACCACTGCATGCTCTGCTTCCTGTGCTGCGATGTCAAAGAAAGTCGAAGCAATGATTCCCTTGCTGATAATTCCCGCAAATGCAACCGTCGTAGCTTCTTACGTACAGGTATTTGGGGTTATATAATTTCCAGATACAGAATATGTAATGTAACTATAGAGTCTCTAAGAGTGGATGCGAACAATATGTCTATCATCTCAGTCATTGGTGAATGGAGGTCCCTGATATCCCACACCTCCTTCTGTGTAGGACCCTCCGATTGCAAATCCTCATTCGATCGCGAGCAATGAGAGCAACGATCCGCAGTTTCGGTAGTCTACAATTTCCACGATCGAATTATGAGACTTGCTGATATGTTTTTTGCATATGGTATTACATGATCTCGAACATAAAAAGCGATAAATAAATGCGGTTCCCGAATGAAAAATCGATTTTTCAATCTGCCCTTTTTATACTGCTTCAAGGTGTCAGTACTATATAATCAAAATCGCCTTTAACGTGCGCACTTTGGGACGTGTGAAGCATTTGCGTACCGTAGTATGTTCTTTTTTCACAATTTGTTTAGACAAAACCTTAAGCAGGTCACGCATTTTCTGTGCTTTGTACACTGCACCTTTTGTAATGCAATGGAATGTAACCTTATAAATCTATGAAGAAGAATAGTTGTCTCATACACACATGCATAAAGTTTTTACAATAAGATATTTTAAACGCAAAACAGGGTAAAATTTACGTTTAGAATTCATGAAAAATGATGCTATTTCCGTTTATTCATTTTTTAAGTGTTTTAAAATGTTTTTGATGCACTGGATGTTTTTTTTTTCAAGTAGGTGATCGAGATGTTTGCAAAGGTACTTCTTCTAGCTTCACTGTCTGTTGCAATGTTCTACAACGTCGCTAGTGAAGCTTCGGTGAAGCCAATATCCCAAAAATCAGAACGACAAATAGCTACTTCCCCACCTCTACTGCCTCCAAGCATCGGTAGTGGAATCGGAGGACTAGCTGGTATCATACCTGCAGTTTTACCCATAATTTTTATACTCGGTATTGGAGCTTTCTTACTTCCAGCAATTGGTCTTCTGTTGTTCGGAAGCTCAGGCGGATTTGGTGGATTTTTTGACGGCTTCAGCAAGAAAAGATCTTCAAACCTGGGAGTTGATCATCCTCTTTTCTCCACAGAAAAACTTATTGAGCTGATTCAAACAGTCACGAAAGCTTTGGAAGAAGCGTCAAAAGAAGGATAAACTGAATATTTTTCACATCTAATGGTCAGTATTTACATTTCATTTTGTAGCGCTCTTTAACTAGGTATTGCCTTAGAAGGAAGGAAATTACTAAAACTTAATAATACTTAAACAAAAATACTAAAGAAGGAATAATACTCTGAATTAAGATGATTAAAATGAATACTCGTATTAAGCTGAACCTTAACACTCTCAGTAAGTACTAGACAGCACTCAGACTATAAACGCAAATGAGTCAAAATCGTTTACCATGTTTTAAAGGATGGAAGTGCATTTTTATTGCTTTCTGTGTTAATTTTAAGGTGTTAAAATTTACGATTTTTAGGTAATGGAAGGAGAAAAGAAAAAGAAAGTTAAACTACTAGCTATTAATAATTTTCAGTATGGCTGTGTCTGCAAAATTATGGTATAACTATAACCTAATCTGAATATTTCTTTTAATATGGCGCCCGGATTCCTTGTTATACGTAAATATCCTTCTCACCAAAATAAGAACTTATACTTTTATAGTTAAAATATCACCACCAAAGGGTGTAATGTTAATCCTTCTTTTGCCTCTATAAATTTAGTGATTACTTACGTTAAATACTATTTCACTGTGGCCTTCAGGTGCACAAATAACAGACGCTAGTGAAGTTAATACGATAATATTACTTGAAACTTGAATTGGAGAGATCTTTTTCCCCAAACGTAATTATATGAAGCGGAAAGTAAAGAATTGTGCCCTTCCTAGGTAAGTGAAGCTGTTTTTAAATTCATTAAATGTAGAAAAATGGTGAAATGGCATTACTATAAACAGGAACATCAAAAGATTTGTTTTTTAAAATGAGTATTTTTTCAACCAGAAACCAAGTAAGTTATTCCTAAAGTACTTTTTTTTTAATTTATACTTAAATATAAGTTTACTACTTAATTTATGGTAATAAGATATTCCAGACATAGCTGATACAGGATAAAGAAAAATAAGAATACTCTGAAAAAGATATATAAACTAGGCATTATCGCGGGTTAGCCGTACTTGTCTTAAATAATGCAATACATGTGTGTCATATGTTTTCGCTTTTTCTGATTTTGGCATAGAATTTGGTGTTCTTTCAGATACTATTTCTAAATTCCAAGAAATAATAAAGATATTATCCCGTTCCGAGATATCCGAGTTCTGATTTTATAGCCAAATTTGACAGCCTTTGTCTATTCATTTCAAGAATTCATCATTTCTCAGTTCAGGTGCTCTTATTAAATGGATAATGCGAATGGATGTTTTCATGGTTTTGCCTGTGCATAATATAAATGCCAGCTGGTCTCCTTTAAAAAGCTTTCCACAAATGCCTTCCTAAGGCAAGTAGTCCTTGAGTGTTTTGTCATAACCTAAATAATCTGAACCGTAATCCTTACTTCCTGATTCCTTTGCTTTTCAGTACCTGATAAATGCAATCCTTATATTACAATTATGAGGTAAAAACGACAATTAAGACGATACGGCAAACAAATCTCTTTCGGGAGTTTAAAGACAGCTTTAAAAATTCAAACTACATATAGATCATAAAGAACCAGTAAAACGCCTATAGAAAAATATTGCTTTTTAGAGGTTGATTTAAAATTATTAGAAGCGTACTCTATAATTCTGACTGTGTAAACTGTTTTGAAGGGTAAAAGAAAGCATTTCGTCCAAACATAACTTCGTGAATGGATAAAAAAATCAAGTAAAATTAAAGTGAATAAAATAGTATGTTTGTATGTGTTTAATCAGTTCTAGTATGAATACTAGAACTGATTAAACATTCTTTTCCATATTTAACTGCAGATATATTGCATATTTTTTATACTTGTAAGCACACTTAGAATCAGCTTGAGTTTGTAAAAAATAAACGCTTAAATATGAAAAAAAAATTATTCATGAAACCTGGATTTTGGGACTTGCTAACGTACCATATACTTTCATGTAGAATTTTAAGAAGCGTTATTTTATTAGTTGAAAATATCCTCGGTATTAGAAGAAGCTCCTATTTTGGTCGTTGAAAGTCTCAGGTACCATCTATGTCATTGACGATATTCTGAGACCACAAGTGGCCACATGGCTAAGACTGACACATGCTTGATTCCAGGCGAATGGTTGGGATAGCTACCTGGTTGATTTTCATGTATTTATCCATGTGTAATGTGAACACGAGCCCGTTTTCCTTAAAAGTCCTCCACGAAGGCATGCTTCATCTTCGGCAAATAGCCCTTATCTGCTTTGCCATATTCCAGTAACTATAACCTTGAATCTGATAAAGCAGTCTCTCAGATACCATTATTCTCTTCAAGCCTAACTATATTCCGTTATAGAGAAAAGCATTTTCAAAGAAATAAATATGTTATATACCGTAGATGTCGATCACAAATTTATTTCAACAAAATATTTTCCTATTTGACTTCCGTTTTTCAACAAGATTGGGTCAGATATGATGACATTTTGAAGATCATGATTTAAGTTTTATTAATAAGATTTTTCGAAACTTATAACCAAACAAATTTTCCTTTAATGAAGAAAATGTAAGAACATAAATGGTTCTGATACATCCAGCACGGCATAATTATGTTTAATTTCTAAGTTTGGTTTTGGTTTATTTGAATTATGATAAAACTCCGGAGGGCTATCTGCCTAAGAGGATGGATGTCTTCGTAAAGGTCTTTCTAAGGGAAACCAGTAAGAAAGTTACTCATGGGGGAAAACCCGAAAAGCCCATGCAGCCAGCCAGTTCGCCGAGATTTTAATTTCATAGAAGTCACTAATTATTCTAATTTTTTGCGATGTTATATCATTATATTTAGCAGTTTATGTAAATTACCATCTGCAGAAGTTTAGTACTTGCTTTTAATTATTGCGCTTACCTAAATCAAAGCAGTTACACATTATTAAGTTTTTATTTATTTTTTTTGTCATTATATTCCATTTGTATGCGCTTTAGTGCTTTAAGTAATAGTCTCAGAATCATAATCAGAGCATCGATTTACAAAGTGAATTTTGAATTTAAGAGGCAGTTTTAATGTAATTTTATTTTTTTTTGATGCAACATATCTTTCTAAATTTCGATACTCATCTATGCATGCTTCTCATTAATTATCAAACTCTTCATAATCTAATACGTAACTGAAAATAATAGATGGATAAATTGTAATTATACATTTTATTTAACATTACATGCCTAAATTATTCTTGCTAGATTTTTTACGTACCATTCCTCTTATTCAGACGCTTTCTTTCAAATCAGTTTCTGATCATTAAAACTGTTATACTGTGTTAAAAGCAGTTAGCAAAATCATACTTATTTTACAAATACATCATAATGAAAAATAAATGCTGAAAAATTTAGTAATTTTGAGTACAGAACAGGCAGAAACTGTATTGAATATATAACGTATAACTCTTTCTTGACATGTATAAAAATTATTTTAAAACGTATAACTCATCCTTGACTTTTTAATGTCATCATTTACTTAATGTGAATTCCAAATTAAATTAAAAATGTTATAATAATAAATTCACTAAGGAAGAATGTTTTATTTCTCAAGACATACAAAAATGTGGATAAGGTTTTATTTGCCAAACCACGAAATTAACTTTACTATAACGAATTTTCTTGCAATAAAGAAGAAAAGCTCTACTTTTAAACCTTTCGAAAAATTGCTGTAAACATATACGAATTATATGTATAATTAGGGTTTTTGATATTACGTCATATTGTCTCACAACGGTATACATGAGTTCATGTCTGCATATTATATGTATTTAAGTTTTAATTGTATAATATGAATACTTATGAATAAATTTTTACTTAACAGGTTCTGAAATTAAGATTTTGGATCTTTTAATGCACAAACCTAACAAAGTTGAAAATATGGAATATGGAATTCACAACTATGAAAAAAAACATCGTACAAAGATTAGAACTTCGTTACAGTCGAATGAAGGAAAACGAAAGTTGTATAAATAAATATTTTCTCTAAATCTGTTTGATATTCTTTACGTTTTCTGCACACTTTGTTACAAATACGTTAATACTCCTCGAATACATTTCATAAATATACAGAAATATGTGCAGCTTCTTTCATTCCTAGTCTTTGACTGAGAATAAGGAACTATCCGTAAAAGAACTTATATGCTTTAAGTATAAACTTGAAATTCAGATATAAAAGGTTATTTACAATACTTTTAATACCTGTTTGCTCCAAGCAGTTTTCAAAATACGAAACTTAATCTCAAGAAACCATGGTAATAAAAAGTACAAAACATTTTAAGTATCATGATTCTGAGAAAGTAATTTACAGTGCAAAAATAAATAAATAAAAAGTCTGAAAGCTTTCAGATTTTATATTACGCCCAAAGGGGCGTTTTTTTTAAACATTTTGTGTGTTACCTTTATTAATTAAATATCATGTTCTTCGCACTTAAAACATAAAATTCAATTTAACAGCAATATCGCAATTAAATGAGCATATCTTTAGAATTTCAGATACAAAATTTCGCGCGCTGGAGATGAAAATGTTTTTTTTTTTTTTTTTTTTTTTTTTGGTACAGTGTTGCCACTGCTTACTCGTTGCGTTGTAAATCGTTGCGTTTATTAATCAAAAATCTTTAATGTTTGACAAAATATGGAATAGATAATGATGCAAATTCCAATGAGGCTTCGATCCCATATTCGGTAGAGGATTCTTTATTTAATTGATGGCTCTATTTACCGTGTTTATACAATGGAGAAAATACAGCATTATGCAGATTCTTAATTTAATTCTTAATATAGGGCTAAATCTATAAGGTATAATATTGGTGGAACAGTTGAAAGTGAATTCAAGCGAAAGTGAATCAACTCAAATGCCAAAACGAAATTAATAGCCTCTGGGTAACGCCCTTGGATAAAAAAAAATAGAAAGCATTATTTACATTACGCCCAAGCGGCGTTTTATTAGTTTGGTATTACCCGTATTTATAAATACATGTTTGCTACTTAAACCATAAAATTCAAGCCACAGCAATATCCAAACTATTTAAAAGAGATATCGTTAGAATTCGATACACAGTCTCGCGCGCTGGGATTTTTTTTTTGGGGGGGAGGGTACGTGTTGAATTTCTCTTTTAAATTGTCCATTCTTAATCAAAAAACTTAAATGCGCTACAAAATATGAGTATAATAAAACAATCAAATTGGGCTTCAGCTGCAGTATTCGGTGGGACGTACATTATCAAAATTTGATGGCTCTGGGTATACCTTTTTTTATCACAGTGCGAGAAACGTACATATTTTGATGTAGATTCTTCATTATTTAATTTCTTTAAATATAATACAGGGCTCTAATATTTGATGAAAACAACTTAAAAAGTGATTCGCCGTTTATAGTGAATCAACGCAAAATGAAAGTAATAGCCCTTCTATGCAAATTACCCCTTTGGGCTAATAAATAATCCCTCATATGGTAGTAGGTAATTCATGTTTCGATCTCAAACTATTTCTAATCGTTTTGTCGAAAAAGAAGTGCGTTTCGTATAATTTAATTTTCATTGCAAATCTTTATAATCAGCTTTACGCGCGACTTGTAGAGATAGAATTCCAGGGTTCACTATACTAAGTAACACAAGCTTTATGAAATCCTGTAAATTCAAATACAAATGGTTATTTCAAATGCTTTTTATATATTTTAGGTTCAAGCTGTTTTCAAAATTCGAAATACTGAAATACGAGATATAATTCTCATACAACTGCGGTAATAATAAATACAAAATATGTTGGACGTCTGGAAGAGTAATTTTTGTACCCAAAAAAAATAATCCCTTATATGATAGTAATTAATTCAGGTTTTGATCTCAAACTATTTGTAAGCTTTTCAAACACTTTTTCGGAAAAAAGTGCTAGTGTCATAGTAAATCTTTATAATCAGGTTATTCAGATTGATGATACACGTGGCCTATTTACTTCTACAAAGCAAAATTTCACAGTTCACTAAAAATTATTGAAATGGCATTCTAATTCACAATAAAATTCCCAAAAATTAATTCAAGTCACGTATTCGACACAATACCCGATTTAAATATTTGCAATGCTTCTGAATTAATGCTACGTTTATTAGAAGCACATTGATTACGTAAAATAAAATAAATATTGATTTATAGGTAAACTTAATAAATATCATACGTTTTCCTGTTAATAGTTGAAAACTGATGCCTATATATTTCACAAAACCTAAATATATAAAAACACATACTTAGGAAAAGTTAAAAGAAATTTCTCTAAACAATCCTTACATTTCCTGTTACTTATGTAAGAATATAACATTAACAGGAATATTTTTATTTAATCTCACTTTTTTACATGAACGTTAAAGCAAATACAGATAGAAATATTAAATTCTCAAGTATCACAAAACTTAAAAATCTTTTTCAAGTACGTTTTTCGCATGAATTTAGTTATTCAAGAATTGAGTTTTTGTTTTTAATCTGTTTACATGCTGCTGTAATAAAAAGTACTCTGAAACATGTTATTTTAAATTGTAAATAAACAATGTTTTTCTTAGAGCTTTCAAAAAGCGATGAAATGCCTAATAGTTGGAACGGATCACTAAACCGCCTAAGAGCAGATAATCTTTTGAACGGAAATAAAACTCGGAAATGTCACCGAATTTCCATTTTTACGGTTCACCTTCACTGATGGGATCTATCAGGCAATCAGAAGATTACGAAGTGAAGGTTGAATTGCTTAATGGGCTTACCCGCTTGACAGTGAAACCTGTATCAGTTGTAAACATCTTCCACTATAGGAAGAGACTCTAGAAAACGAAACTTTTTCCCCACAAACGTACTTTGTGAAAGGTAAGAATAAACTATAGTTAAAAATACGACCAGGTTATTTAATTGTAGTTTAGCTCATGCATATACATTCAATTAGTTCTTGGGAGTATAATTTTTAATGACTACTCTGGTTATTAAATAACATAAAGAAATATCGAAGACGCTCCCATTAATTTGAAGTGACATGTTTTATGCTGAAAAGCGGGGATTTTAAACTATAATTATGAGGAAGTAGAATTTAAATTCCCTGTACTGTTATTGTAGCAGAAAAAAGAAACTTTGCAGATGGAAGCTATTTATCACCTTAAAAACTTGCTCCGCAATTAACTGGCCAACCACTGGCCGATTGGTAAAGACCGCTGAACACTGGCAGCTCAACACAGTTTCGAAACCTAGACAATGAACTTACTCTATGGATATTCTCGTGGATTTCCGCAAACGTAATGTGAACCATTTTCTCTTGGATAGTTCTCCATAAAGACATGCCTTCCCACATGCTAATTACTCCTGCGTGAAAAGCAAATGAATTAATGGATTTAGGGTAAACAACACATCCAAAGCTATTCACACAAGTAAATACGCACTTGATGCACAGAATACATTTAGATCAGCATTATAAATATAAATTTTACTATAAAACTGTTTGCTTATTTACTACTTTTCTTAATAATATTTAGAGTATTTTACGAGGGATAAATTTTAAAACAGAACGGAAACATTTATTCCCGCAAGAATTCCCGATACACGATTTAATACCTTATTATATTCTCTGTACTTTATTATTTCTTTAAAATTGTCGTGATGACTTTTCTAGGTAAGCAAAGAGACATAAAGTTACAAATTAATACGTACTTGGAAAAAAATATAAAACACTGATGTGTATATGTCTCTTAAGATTCGTTTTCCTATACTATATCTTGAGTTCCTCTCCCCCCCACCCAATTACCTAGAACTAGTAAGTAAGGAATATGAAAAACATTTCTATCAGGGTATATGCGTAACATAAACATGCTATAAAGGAAAATGAAACCCTGATTATGCTTTATTTTATAACGAAGTGTACCAAAGGCAAAAAAACCGAAAACGTCAATTAAAGTTACACTTTAAGACAGTGTACTAACTGTCTGATCTATTAGCAGCTGTCAGATATAACCGTCAGATCTATACGAGTAAAATAATGTCAACTTTGTAAGAAAGCTTTGTAAGAAAATTAAACTCCTCCTGTGTCAACTTTGTAAGAAAGTTTTAAAAAAAAGCCAGAATAGTAAAGTTTAAGAAACAGATTAGAAATCAGAATGAAACAATTTTCAAATTGCAGCAAAAAATGTTAAATTTTGGTCTTTAGTGCTTTTAGTCGCTTTCGTTTCTATCACGGTCATCCTAGATTTAAAATGTTGCTGCCAACCACCAATATCTAACACTGGATAAAAATATGATATGCTAGTAAATTTATTTCCGGATTATTTGTATTGCCACCGTTACTACTCAATATAGACCTAAAACTGAAAAAAAAAACCTTCTGTAAAAATATCATTTATCTCCTGTAACACAATAGAATGTCGCTTGCTAACTGAGCAGAGAGCTCAAACGCCCGTACGAGTTCAGAGGTTTTAGTAAAGCTAATTTTGAATATCAAGACAACTCAAATTACAAATTATACATATAGTATAAAAACTTGAGACAATTAATAATCTATTGCGCAAATTGGTTGTTAAATAACTGTTCGGAATTATGAGGAACGTCACAATATATAACAATAAGAAGTTCTTACGCATATCACTGGAAAGCGCCTAAAATTCTGTAACAACGGACGTTTTGTTTAGAGCTTCGTGCAAGAAAGAAAAAATGTAAATCTCTGCTAATTATTGTTCTTTTCGGCATTGTGATAGGGAAACCGGCTACCATAACTTTGAGCCTAGGTTCAAATCCCGTAATTATCTATCCCCTCTTCTTGTAGATGTAAAATGGGTCACCTGTTGCTCCGGGAAATGCTCTCGGCGATGAGATGGTAAATGATGATTTCGGCCACTCCCGAAGATTGTTTAAAATAGCAACTGCCCGTCTATTAATTATAAGAAAATCTGCAAATTTAGGCTGTATCGGTGAAGACATAAACAGAGCGGATTTAAAATGCAGTATTTGTTTAATAAGAAATATAAAAAGCTAAC